CGTTCTATAAAACAACGTAAATTATCACCAAAATTAATAACAAAAAATGAAATAATATCATCACCAATAATTAATGATGATTATTCATTAACAACAACAACAGGTATATGTTATCCTCATGATGATATTTATTATAATTCTCATAATCATAATCATAATCATCATCATTCTCAAATAAATTATCCAAATTTTTCACTTTATACATCTTCAACAAATTATTCAAATCCATCATGTTTTTCAACATATTCAAATTTAGATGATGATCATAATAAATCTTCATCATCTTATCCTTCATTACCAATATATAATTCAATGTACTATGATCAACATTCATCAAATGATTATAATTTATTATCATCTAAAATGATTTCTTCAAAACAATCGTTACCACCACCACCACCACCACAACAACAACAACAAATGATATTAAATAAAAAGAAACAATTTTTACCTATAACATCACCATCAACACAACAACAACAACAACAGAATATAAAACGTGGTTCTTCATGTGAAACATTAACATTATGTGATGTAAATAATAAACGAATTCATCTTGATAATGAATCTCATCATCATTTATCTCATATTGATTATGAAACAAATTTAACGTCTGATAAAATTGATTTATATCCATCGACGAATAATTGTTATGTATCAACAAATTATCCAACAGAACATCCTTATCATCATACGTCGGTGATTGTCGATAGTCAACAGTATTTTCTCAATGGATGGAATGGAGCTGCTGCTTTCTAACCAAATCATCAAAAGTATTTTTAGTCAATGTTGTCTGTTGTTGTTATTTTTCGTGTATGTGTGTGTGTGTGTGTGTGCTCATGTCTGTCTGTCTATCTGTACTTTATTATCTTTAATTGTGCTTTCGTTCAAAGAAAGACAAATGTATCAATAAGCAATTTATATTTTATTCATTTTCTTTTTTCATCAATGAAATATGAAAATTAATTTAATGAAATTTGTATATGATCTGATTAGAGCATAGTATTAGAAAAAAAAAACGATCATACGACCAATATATATTGGTTTGAAGATTAACTTTCAGTTACAGATTTTATTCAGAATTAATCGTAATGTGAATAATGAACTGTTCATATAAGCATTCATATTTTTCGAAGAATAATATGATGAATGTGAAGTTTAAATCGAGGTTTTCTGGTTCTTTCCTCTCATGACAAAGGGCAAACGAGTGAAAGTCAACAATTATTTGATATGTTTTTCCAGGACACGCGTCAGACTACTTTTCTAGAGTTCCTTTAATTAGTTCAATTTACTGAGCTCAATTTTTACTTTTCAACAAGCGTCTTCTTGTTGAAGTAATTGAACTTATAATATTAATTAATATGCTCAATAAAATAATCAAGAAACAAATGAAGAGTTTAATTCACTGATGTGTTCCGTCTTATTTATTAAAATATAAATATTTATCAAGACTGCACTACTTTCTTCCTTTAACATAATAATTCAAGAGTAAAAAGGAAAATGATGGTTTACCTTATAAACAAAGAAAAATAGGACTTAACTTTGAAATCTAAAAGAAATTGTTTTGGATTTTAAATCAAAAGATGAATCATTCGAATACCATAGTCGATCTTTCCTTATCCAGGTTCGTCTTCTGACTTTCTTGTAGTTCTGTTAGTTGTGCAATTTTATTCTCTATCAAATGATACTATTTTAACTAGGTGTCGGTTATTGGTACGACTGTGGAAAAGATCTCCACACTCACACAATCTAAATTCTTTTTCATATTTGAAATTGTAAATGCTGTTATTTCGATGCAAAACAAAATCATCCAATATGAATGCTTTTATTAAATAAATCGTATATTATTTTATCATTAACAGTTGTTATCATTCTGTGAAAGATATAAAAGTTCTGTTAGCTGAAAAAGTATGAAAATAAAACGAAGTAATTTTAATTTCTCGTGAAATTCTCATTCATGAATCTTCAGAAAAAGCCAAGACTTGTTTTTCAGACAGAAGTTTTATACTTTTAAGTATATGTAAAATTTCTACTTAGATACTAGTCTCTCTGATTCTCTATGTATCTTTTATATCACACTAATAGAATTTGTTGCTATTTTTCAGTTTTTAACAATTGAAATAAATGTTTGCTTTTTGATTTTACATCTCATTGTTTCCTCTAAATTGATATTCATCATGAGCAAAAAAGATAATCGATTGAACATCTACATTGTTAAAAGAGATTATCATACTTAATATTGTTAATCAATATCAGATATTCATAATTGTATGAAAGACATTCAATACCGATATACATTCATAGTTACTTATTTTAGAAGATTCTTCATAAAGTTCTGCATCTAACTGAAGTAAAAATTAAAATTTTAGAAAATGTGTTTTACGGAAAAATCTGTGTGAATATTTTTTCATTATTATAAGACTGTAATTTCTTTTTATTAGATCAAATTTCAATCGATGATAAAATAAAAACAGCCACAAAAAGGAATGTTTAATGTTACTATAATAATTTTATTAGTGAAAGTTGAAATTCAATAATCAGAAGTTAGACATTTCATGATCTCAGCCAAATTCCATATACTTAACCATAATTTCTTGAAGTTTGTTGTTTTTTTCTCATGAATTATATGACGAGGAGCATATATTTAATGCTTATTGTTGGTAAAATGAGAATTGACATGGAGCTACGTTTTCAATCATGTTAGAGAATCAATCTAAATTTATATAAACTGATCAAATGTTAGCTTTTTTTTTGGAAGAGTTTAAAAATAAGCTAAGTTTCTCTCATCTTTTTATTCAAGTTTTCATATAATTGAAACAAGATATATATAGGATGATCAAAAATTCTGAAAACTAGTAATATCCCTTCAATAAAAAAGTACATTATGTTTATTTCTCTACAACAAAAGTTAGAAGACGTCATAACAATGTTCGATAGTAAGTTCGATTTATGAATAATCATTTTGCATTCATCAACATGTGTCAAATTGATGGCTAGATTATTGCTTAGTGATATTCATCAATTCAGTACCGAAAATTTGGCAGGTTTTGTGAAACGGAGACTGCAATGATTGTGATATAATGACGGACGTTGAAAGACAGATTAAGTATCGAAGTAGTAGGTAAATACAAGAGAGAAATCTTAGTCTGTAAAAGAAGAAAACATTTTACTTGTTGTAAAAAGATGATAACATGAAAAGAAACAATGTTTATCATTTTCTTTATGATAATGTGAGTACTACTTATTCGTTAGATGCATTCTATACAATCTGTTAATGCTATCTAAAGATTTCAATAATGTTCAAAAAGTCTTCGTGAAGACACTTTTCAACAAAGACTATGATGAAATATCGGTGGTATCAAATTCATCATTGTACTGCACACTACATGTAGAAAGTGTTGTTATTGAATTTTTCAAAGAAGAGAGAATTTAAAGATGTGGTCTAGGAGATACATTCAATTGGGCTCTTAACTAAGCAATAATCGAGCAATCAGTTTGACACATTTCGATAAATACAAAAAGAGTACTCAAAGGCAAATTGAATATGCTATCGAACATTGTTATAATATTTTCTAAGCTTTGCTATCGATAAATAAATATAATGTATTTCTAGTTCTCAGAACTTTTTCATCACCCTATGTGCAATCAGTTCTTTTGAGAACAATACTTGTGAAATGAGAGTACCAATAATATCTTCGTGTTTATTCTAGTATCGCTTTTGTGTCGAACGATTCATGAATATGAACTGAATAAATAGTTGTTATCTTATATCATTGAAGAGAGTTGAGTATTTTTCTCTAAGATTATTCTTTGTGTGTACACAACATGATAATCACGAGTTATAATGACTCATGTTTATTTTGCCCATTTCTATTCTTTGTAAGTTTGGAAAAAACATCCCATGACATACATGTGACAGAATGAAAAATAAAAGCTTTTTTTCATTCTTTATGTGGACAATTGAGTCATTGGCAATGGTAGAAGGTATTTTCTATTCTAGAGTGTACAGTCATAAAGGAAATTTCTAAGTTTATGAATTGAATATCAAAGGAAGAGTCCGAGCAGTATTTATTTGTATTAGGGATGTATATATGTATGAGAAACTTGACATATAAAACATGTTCTCTTCAATCAAAACATTAGCGATCAAAATCAACTAATCAAAGCAGAGTAAGCAATCATGTCGCAGTATAGTATTATTTGGCTCGATGTGAATTCGTCAGATCTAAAGAGTAGCTTTCGTAATAAACTGGTCGACGCTCAAACATTCACCAATGTAGATCGTTGTCTTAAATACATTAGATCTCATTCAAATGAATCCATTTATCTTATTGTATCGGGTTCACTTGCTAAAGAAATTGTTCCAGAGATCTATGAATTTTCAAATCTTATACAAATCTTTCTTTTTTGTGGGTCCGTTAGCAATTATGCAGAATGGGCTATGGATTATCGAGATAAAATAATGATATTTGATCATGAAGATGATCTTTTAGAACGATTATGGAATGATTTACAAACTACATTATGTGAACAAGCTGAACAATACTTAAAACGTGCAGATGAATATAAACAACGAGCTTTACAATATAAACAACCATGTGGTTAAAAAGAATCTATTTTTTCTATCATAGCATATTATGTTGTAGATATATATTTGTTCTAATAAAAAGTTCGTTTTTCTTAACAGAAATCTTAACTAGTATTCTATAATCATAGAAACGTTGTTGAGGCTAATCCATCTTCGGAAATAGTATTTTTTTATTTTGTTTTCTTATATTAAAATGACGTTTCTGAATGTGTGGGTGTGGGCGTAGACATGTGTGAGAACAAAGGCGGGAAGCACACCCACACCTTTACTCTCACTTACACTCACACTCCAAAACGTTATTACTACTAATATTGGAATATCATAAGTACATATGTCAGTTCCTTTTAAAATCAGTTTTTGCAGAAAGTAATATAAAACGATATGTTTCATTATTAAAATTTTCTACAGGAATTTTTTTAGTTGGTTTTAAATCATTTTAAAGAAGAATTATATCAGTTGATAAAGGTTTATTTAGTTGAATTTCAAGAATAAGATTATCTGGTTGTTGTTCATCAGGAACAATATGTACATGTTTAAGAATTTTAATGTCTTCTGGTTTAACTTTAACTTGTGATGTTGTTTGAATATTATGTTTTGGAATTTTAGCTGAATATGAACCATATTCATTTAATTGCATATTTTTTATTGTTAAAAAATAAGCTTTTCATCTTGTTCAGTTTGTATCCAATCATGATCAAGTTGAATTTGTTTATTATTTATTTTCCATATAACTGGAATTTATTTTAATTGATGTGATAAGGAAAATATTAAAAATATTATTTTCATTTTCAGTTAATGAAATATCTTTTAATAGCTCAGATAATTTAACAAAAATTGTTTTAATTGTTAATGATGCTGAACATTTTTTTTTGATGATGGTTGATCAATAACACATGTATATGTTCCAGCATCTTTTGAATCAATGATTTTTAATCTTAATAAATGTATATGAGGGTTGAGTGGGGTGTGGGATGTGAAAGAATAACATAGTTCCACTCACACCCACACTCTCCGTGATTTCACATTACATTTAATCGTATCAAATCAATATATCCAAGAGAATATTCTATAACTAGAACTTCAAACTATGTTAAACGAATTTATTAAAAAAATATCAATAAATACTAGTTTTGTAATTTAATCCTTTTATCCCAATTTTAGATATTTTTCATTCAATTGTTAAACAACTTTATGAAAATAGACTGTCTGATGAAAAACAAAAATACAAAAAAAAGATTAACATATATTGGCATTATTGGTCTAGATGGTCAATATGAAAACAATAAGAGGAAAATCATTCGTCAATGAATATAAAAGAACAAAAATAGAGCTGTAAAACTGCAGAAATAATCATTGAATATCAATATATGGCATTGTTTACAGATTTCGACGATCTACCTAATTTAGTATTAATCGAGCTCTTCACGTATCAGTCGTCTATCGACATACTATGGGGATTCACTCATCTTAATCATCGTCTAACGATGTTAATAGTTGAACGAGGTTTTTTCTATCATATTAACTTATCATTTACACGCTATCATCAATTGAATAGAATTGTTCGTTTTCTTCCATTGAATGGTATTCAATCACTTTCAATTGATAGTGATTCATCTGCACTTCAACTAACTCGTTGGCCTTATTTATCTCGTTGGAGAACTCTGTGTATCATAGGTACATACAATCAGAATGATCTTTTACTCTTTGTTTTACTACATACAGCTACACTCACTCATCTTATCATCAAATCAAATGAAAGACTAGTCCCAGTAAGTGTCCATAGTTTTTTTTCATACATTTAAAACTATCTAAAGGATCGAGGTTATTGGAGAAAATATTAAAAACTCTGATATACTAGTTTTCGTCAGAAAGTTTTCATAATATCTCTAAAAAGAAAAAAATAGACGGTTCGATTGTATTGTAGAAATTATGAATTTTTGTCATTATCTGAAAATCTCAAATCGATCAAAACTTAAATAGAATATATTAGAAGTGATAAGAAAAACAGAGTTATTATTAAGTTATAGCTAAAATGAAATGAGAAAGAGAATTAGTTTTTGGAAAAAAATTGTATAAAAATACCGTCAAATTTTATTCAACACAATTTCTCAGATTCAATAGATTAATTAATAAAAAAATCTCAAGTCTAATGTTTTCAAGAGCTACACAATATATAGATACACATAGTTTGATTATGTAATTGGTTAAAAATAATTGTTGACCTGTAATTTATGTAAAAAAAATACTAAGCCTTGTCGTTTAATAAATACTTCGAAATATAAAATAGATTTTTCTATTCAGTGTGAGAGATTTTATAAACAATCCTATGAAACTATTTAATTTTTCACTGAGAAATAGAAAACAGAACTAATTCGTTTATCAAAAATAATACTATATTCTCAAATACATCTGTATAATTTGGAATCAGAGAAATGGTCATAATAAAAAAAAACGTACGATCATAGAAGAAAGTTAAATCATTAAAACGAACAAAACTTGCTCTAACTTTTTAACAATTTGATTGTGAAATTAGCGAGCCTATCTCTGATGGTTTTAAATATATTCGAAAAGAATCTTGTTTGAAAAACTATTGGGATAACATTTATTTTCAAAGCTAATAATATTGAAAATTTTTGTGAAATGAAATATTGAACAAGATAGTTTGTGTTCAATCGTAGCGTACAATAGAATGAAATTTTGTTTCAAAAATCTGAAGATTTACATTAGTTACAACAAATAGCTTAGAAAAACTATCAAAAGAACTGATATTAATTGTACATAATGATTTTACTTGAATCGAAACTTGACTTTGATAATCTCACTTTTAAATTAAAGTACTTTCACTTGGAATTTTATCAAAAAATTAGTTAGCATTTGTCTTTATACATAAATCAATGATATTTTTTTTTACATACTGTTTCTTTTTCAGGATAGTTTTTCTCTTAAATTTCTGCACCCATTAGGCAACATGGTAGACTTAATGAAAAATATTCTTTTTATTCATTTATCTGCACTTCGATCACTCGACTTGGGCATGATTTATTATGGGACATGCTGGTCCATTACTACTGCGATAGTACCTCTCACTTACTTACGCCTTTCTTTCCCAAATACGAATGCCTTAGTTCGTCTTATGTCGAGACCACCACTTTCCCAAACATTACGTCAATGACATATAGAATTAAGCTACAATTGTTTGCCTACATCAACTTCTAATCTATCGATTTCAATGGTTAAATTACATACATTTACTCTTGTTCAAACATTCTTCTCAATGTTAACAATTAAATGGGTGTTTTTCGAAATGCTGACATCGTCCAATGTAATGTCTGTTCTTCGACATGTCTACATATCCATTTTTATTAACATCAAAGATATCATTGGTCTGACATATCAGAATGGCTCGCTGATGATGATTCTTTTGTAAGTTATTTTTCGATTATATTTCTGCTCCCATATTATTTCAACATACAATATGAAGGAAAAGAAAATTTTTATTCCCTAGCGGATAATCTAATTTTCATCTAATAATATGTTAATATATTCTTCAGACATATAGAATCTATCCGTGTGCGCTCATGCGCATGAGAAGAAACTTTCCAAGTTTGGGGAAATGATTGGTTATAGGAAATTTTTATAATAAAGGAAATCAGAGGAAAAGTTTTTCTTTGGTGGAAACTAGGGTACAAAGTTCTTCAGCAAGTTATGTGATTTGTTTGCCAATAGAGAAAAGTGCAACTGTTTTTTTTTGTTTCCGTTATCATTCAATACAAGTCTCTTTTAACATGTATATATGCTATATCACAATTTGTTTTACTCTCTTTCACAGTAACCGTTCATTACAGCATGATTCTTTACACATTGAAGTCATGCTCGATTGAAAAGCTCCTCCATATTACATTTACCTGACACAGTTATTGAATATTCGTTAGAAGATTATTTCAAAAAAGAGATGGACAATAACTGGTTATTTTATAAGAAAAGTGAGCAATATTAAGCATGGGAACTTGAATGTTCGGGTTCAGCTGTGCTAAATCGTTTCCGAAATGAGCAAGTCCGAAGACTACCAGAATTACTCGATGAGTTAGGAAACTCAATTGTTTATTATATAACGTTTGTTGAATATAATAATTTTTTTTGTTCCTTTGTTTCTTTAAATGTATATAAATGATGGGCCAGAAGTGCTGACTCGATTTATATAATAAATTTTTCTAAAGTGAAACTTGTGGTTATAAATTTGTCTCTATGATGAAAAGATGCAACGAAAGATGCTATACAAAATAATTATTGATTGACCTCGTTAGCTCATCTAGTAAGAGAGTTATTGGCTTAGAAATGTGCTTCACAAAATGGCAAAATTAACCGTTAGTCCAGTCTATATGGTGATGCTTTCTTTAAAAGCTCCTCACTTCATCGAAACAAAAGGTTCTTCAATCAGATTTGTTTTATTGTAATCAGAAATTATTGCTCTTCTCTACCCAGCTGCAGCATCAAAACTTTGATTACGTTTTCGGTTTCTTCTTGTGTACGCTGTCGAAAACGGAGTTGCCGATTGTTGGAACTTTGTTCTTGAGCATACTATCTGCTCTAAAAACGTGTTTTTACAGATCATGCACGACAAAGAGTACATTTGAAAATACCAAACACAAACTGATTTTTCACTTTTGTTATGCCTTTATGGTAACAATAGAAGAAAAAGTTCAAGTCGAAAGATATGCCAAATTTACAAAGCTTTCATTTTTTCGTCACGCGTTTAATTTGCCTAGTTTTCTTGATTGAAGTTCTGAAACTAGAGTTTAAGTATGATTTTGTAGAGAATTTTACGGTGCTTCTAACTATTTAAAAAAAGAATTCGTTTTAGGGGACCTAAAGAATAGGATATAAAGCAAAATAACTGAGGTCAGGTTGATGGTTAATTTTTCTTTTTTGTGGAGCACATTTCTAAGCCTATAACTTTCTTACTAGATGAGCTAGCGGCGTCAGTCAATTGTAATTTTGTAGAGCGTGTTTTGCTGTATATTTTCCTTGTAGAGACAAATTTACAGTCACTTATTTTACTACTGAAACATCTATTATATAAATCGAGTCAGCACTTCTGATCCACCCTTTATGTTCAAGAAAAAAAAAATCTTTTATTTTGATAGCGGGGAAATGTTTTGAAGGATTTTTCTTCGTGCGGAGAAATGTTTCATTTTAGCGATAGATTCTGCACCTCTGCTAAAAAGTGATCAATGTGAAAGAACTTGATGCATTCCAACTACAAAATAAATTATCAAGGCATCGAGTAACGAAACTATTGATTGTAACATTAATATGAGTGCAGTTGAAGTCAATAGAGAAATGACTTTTAATTATATTTATTTGTAATGTTCGCAGAATTACTTCTAATTTAAAGAATCCCATTATCAGACACAAACCTTCCGTTGAATTCTTGTTTTCATCCGAGGCAGTTCGATAGTTTGTGCAAAAATTAGCTCTCACATCACAAGAAAACACTGACACTCAGATCCATACCCTACTTTATCAAAAATAGTAAAAAGTGAAACATTGTCGCTTTTTTTGAAAAAATTCTATCAAAGACATTGTTTTATCGTTTTCTTGTGATGTGTCAGCGATTTCTGAACATGAAAAAAAACG